GGAGGGACGGACGGACACACGGACGGACGGACAGACTCAGGAACTCACGGACGGTCGGGGACATGTATCCTAACATGTATGATCTATGTACTAAATTTGAATGAAAACTGACAAAGCATGTTCAAAATACGACATTTTCAAAAAACAAGATGGCTGCCAGTCGGCCATCTTTGATACAATTGTGAAATAAATCGTCATGGACATGTATCCTAACATGTTTAATCTATGTACCAAGTTTGAATGAAAACTGACAAAGCATGTCCAAAATACAACATTTTCAGAAAACAAGATGGCTGCCAGTCTGTCATTTTGAATCAAATTGCTAAACCACTGCATGTGCATATGTCCCACATAAGGTACTAGGCACATGCAAAGAATGAACGGAATCGGTCAAAGGGGTTCTGAGATATGACTCCGGGCGGACGCACGGACGCACAGACGCACGGACACACGGACGCACAGACGCACGGACGCGCGGACGGACGGAGACCGAATTATAAGTCCCCGTTTTCGGACTTCGTCCGAACGGGGACTAATAACTAGTACCGAGAATCATATCAATATTGTCACTAAAACCTAATCACCTCATTATCGTACTTTTTTTTCACTAGCATTATTTAAACCGCTGTCCACTACTCGTTAATGTATATTTGGATTTACGTGTAAAAAATCTTTATATTTGTAGGTTTTCTAAGTCGTTATATTACTTGTTTTCTATGAAAAAAAAACATTAGTGCAATTGAAATAATTATATTTATAAGTTAATTCAATTTGTGACCATGTCGGAATTCGGCACTGTCTCTATGTCACTCGTGCCTATGAAATCACAGGATTCCGACACAGTTTTCATATTGTATACCAGTACAATATTTGTACAATCAGGGGTATGAAAATACACACGTTTTCACACTTATATTAAAATAATAAACCGTTGGCTTAAACAATTACCGGTACATGTTGACTAAATTGTTAAACCTTGCCATTAATATCGACACACTAAAGCTTTTCCATGTCGAGCTCTGTATGTTAAAAACTTTGAAACATGGACACGGACTAACTGGACAAACTAAATATACATATTTACACATAGTTCTAATATATCTATGCTGAGGTTACATAGTCAGATTACAACCTCAAATTGCGTGCATATTGTCCATTTAAATTCAATATGACTTGAAAGATGAATTTATATTCAATTCAAAATGTTCATCACAAACGGACATGGAAACTGGCAGGACATTGGTCAGTCCGCAAGAGTTAATGTCCAGTATCGTTTAATTTGTATATACCCAAATAATAGAAAACGTAGAAACAAATCAATCTCAAAAGTGTATTTCACTCCTGCTTGTGAATAGAAATACATTGTCTTGAGAGTTTATCTTTTACCATGTGCAGAGACGGCAGTAATGGTCAATATGAAAGTACACGTGACCTATAATAATACACTTATTATTATTTTCCTGTAGGTACAACATTTCGTGCATGGTGATTACGTATTTTTTACCATTGGCAGCCATGGGTGTCTCGTATGGTATTGTTGGTGTCAAACTTTGGGGAAGCCACGCCCCGGGAGAGAGTTCGAGCAGACATAAGGAACAATTGAAAGCCAAGAGAAAGGTAACTTAAAATTATTGGTTTCACAGAATGGGAATACCTATACAGGAAGAAAGTAAAAACTGCCGTGATAGATACGTACTGACAGGCCTCGGGAGAATTAATGCAATTGCTAAGTTCAAAATTGCTGAACATAAATTGGAACAAATGATTGATCGCCATAAATGAATTCAGTGGCAGGATAAATGTGTGAAATAAGGTAATTACAATGCATATTCCGCGTCAGTGTTGCCAATTTTTCTGGGTTCCATCAAGCCCACTTTCATTTCATTGTACATAAAATACAAGGTAAAGTAACTATATTATAATTCGGAGCTATGCACAGACATATATACGTTATATAAATTAATACAAGTAACCAATTTACGTCTTCTGTCAGCATTTACGAGTTTATCAACCAAATGGCTAAAAAACAGAATGAAATATATTGACACGTTTCATAAAAGTGTTTAGGTGGCAGTGAAATGTGTGCACAGCGCGTGAATTCTAAACTAGAGTAAAAAGATAATGTGCTCATTGAGAGGCGAGGGAGTTGTTTGGTGTAGCATGAATACAAACTCTTGTGTAATGTTGTTAAATAAAACACTTAAATGGCATGTACAATTTTCTGAAAAACCTCAATACATGGATGAATTACGATAGCAGCGTTAATTTATGGATGTGAAGTGTGCTTTTATAATATAACACCGCAATACTAAAGCCATTCGTGTCTGTATAATTGTTGACAGATTTTAGCAGATGTGTGAAATAAGCCGCCGGCGTTGCTATAAATACGACTGTACAAATACAACATTCTGTATTACTAATACAGTGTACTATTGTGGAGTTATTGCACAGTAGCGAACTAACCCTGTACTTGCAGACAGCTGTCTTGTGAACATTTTAGTGAGGCTAAATAAAACAAATGTCAATGTGATTTCATGTATTGCTTAGCGCCACACGAATTACATACATATTATTTGTCGAGAAAGTGTTTACTATATTCTCTGAGCTTACTACCCGATTCGCGTATAATTGTTATATTGTGGGATATTTTAGTGATTTCATTTATAGTTGTTGTGCGTGTTCTTATGTTCTACCTATACATTTAAACATTTTCTTCTATGCTATCGATAAAGAGCCATTTAATAGTTACTTATCACAACGATTAATAAACATTATCTACTATATATTGTATTACATACCGACGGATTTTGAACATCCATTCATTTACTTGTACGGCTAACTATGGTGATGTGTAATATAATCACAGTGCTGAATATTAATATCTACATCAATGAATTTTGGTGGGCACGCACAGATTCTCTACTCGTTGGGGAGTGGTCACTTATAAGAAAATCTGTTAATATCTATTACTTTTTCGTGTGTTTAGAAATTTCCGTGCAAGCAGGAAGCTCGTTGTTATTCGCAATTCACGTTAACGCCGCTCGTGATCTCAATTTAACAATACAGGGTAGCCATTAGCGTAAACGTACAAACAAGCTTTGGTTTTCAATAATATATTTTACCAAACCTTGAAAAAATAACATCAAAACTTGATTGGAAAATTATTTCTATTTACAAACAGTGTACATATAGGTGTATAATATTTACCTTGACTAAATTCTAATTCTGTTCAATATGTCCAAATTCAGTGAATGTTTTAGTTTTATAAAGGTCGTCAATTTTGATAGTATTAGTACATTACATTATTATTGTGACTTTAGAACTTATCAGATTTGAAACTAAGAAGACAGTTTATAAGATTATAAAATTGATTAAATAAACTATATACAATCATCTCTTCGGTTACGCTAACATGTGGATCCCATTACTTAAATAATTAGTCACTATTCGTGTATGCATAGCTAAACAGTTAAGTACAATTATCATAATAACGACTGCTTTTTTCTAGTTACTAATTAATACATGGCTTATTTACATATTGAATACATTAAATGTTTAAAGTCGCGCATATTAATTGACGAATAATAAACAATAATATAAATAATTTTGGCGAAATAATATATTCTATTTACACAGTGTCTGACAGTTACTATATTCTGCACATTTATACTGTTATTCGGATTATTGTTTTATATTTTCTGTAACCAATACAATTGCAAAATGTTTATGTCACCCAGTAGTTGTAACAATACCTTTCACGTCGAGAATCAGTAAATCTATAACTGTAATCAAATTTGAAGGATATTTGAGAAACACTGTAAGATCGTATTAATCACGTTAGTCTGGTTTTAAATTTCTGAAATGTTCTCTAAGTCCATGTATAATATTACACTTTACGAAGGTTACCATCAATCGGAGATAATTAGATGAAAGGTCACTGACCTGATTACCGTAATTGATAGTTTATGACAATATTATGGTATATGATATCGAGTCCTAATGTAATCATTTGCTGTGTTGTAATTTGGAATACCGCCTGTTGCTAAGACATGCTAAAAATGTAAGAAGAGATGAGAAAAACAAACATGGAATCCAGAATTATGAAATACATATCACAAATAGCGAGGGACACGATAAACCCGTTCGCTTTTATACCATAGGAACATACACGTGTCCATTTAATAGTTATTAGAACCCTATGTGAAGTGGTAATTTAGAAATCGACATAAGATTTAATGAGTGTAATATGGTGGATACTAAAATCCTCTTCTGTGAATTTTTGAAAATTACGTTCAGAGGAAGATCATACGTATAAGTTCAGCCCCCTAAAAGCTACCTGCAATGTAAGGGATCCTTAATCTAAATGAAAAGTACTGTAATATATTACTGTAAAGCCTTCTATTCCGGTTGCATGGTGAAATGGAAAAATACTCTATGACGGTACGTGGGTGTATTCTGGTGTCACCGCTGCCATGGCAGGATCCCAATCAATTGATGATTTTTTACATAATTAACTGAGAGACGCAATGCATGCACTAACGATCATGAAATCTACAAATGATGTGTAATTGAATATGACTTCGGAAAGTAATCAAGATAGACGTATGCTTCCCAACTCTTGCTCATTAACTGTTCTGTTTGTTCCATTCTTACTAGATCTTCGACTTTTCCCTGAACAATGCATGTTGATTGAAAACCCAATCTAATTCGTTGAATGGAATTGTTGAAAAAATGTTCAGGTTTGAATGTTGGCTCACTGACAACGGTTTTGTGTGATTTTATTCAACCTAGGTAGTGAAGATGATGGTGATAGTGGTGTTGCTGTTCGGTATTTGCTGGATACCAGTACACATATACTTCCTACTCGGCCGTCATCACTCGTATTTGTACAAGTATGAACACATACAAGAAATATTTTTGTTTCTCTACTGGGTGGCTATGAGTAATTCCATGTACAATCCGTTGATATATTGCTGGATGAATGACAAGTAAGTGTGTTTAAACAACAAACCGTCAATCATGGTGTACTGAGATATAATCTGCTATTCAGGATGGCTTTGTCAAATTCCGCCAAATCCTATTGTTATTACGACTAATTCGTGTACTCTGGCCTTTGAATATCTAAACCGGTGCTAACTGTTTTACTTTATCTAACAGATTCAGAAAAGGGTTTAAAAAAGCATTACGTTTCCTGCCTGGTGTACACTGGAAGCCCGAGGATAGCATCGATGCACCTAGACCCAGTACGTTAAGCAGTTGTCACAGCATGAAGCTATCCAGAAACGGTTCAGTAATGACGACCGTTGAAGAATCTCTTGCTGAAAATGCATTTTAAGTCATAATGATGAAAATTCGCTGCCTAAACACCAAAATCACACAATAATGAGATTTTCGCAAATTCATTGCTTGGTTTGAGTTTGACGATGTATGCAGTTTGTTACATGGCAATGGTGACACCATACATAAGTGTTGCACGGATACATCCTCGTTGTATGCATTTGCATGCATAGAATGTAACGTAATGTGCGTGGTAGAAATGATAGGTAGTTCGTACATGAATGTTTTTGTGCTACATGGCAGCGACAGTTGACAAAAATGACAACCCCAGTACATTAAAGTACTTTCCACACTTAAAAAATGATACATAATTAGTACAGTTAAGATTAGGCATGATAGATGCGACAATGATGAGACAGTGATGCGACAGTGATGCGACAATGATGCAACAGTGATGCGACAATGATGCGACTGAACGTTTATTACCGAGGCAATAGCCATAATTAATGTTGTACATTACTTCTACTTTTTCGTCTAATTTTATCCACAATTACGCTTTAGATTAACAAATGATATACTAGTATTAGAAAAACAAAATTACATATTGTCTTTTGAATGAATATTTGTAGTAATTTATTGTTGATTAGTGTTTGAAATGGTGTTACGCGTATATTTATTCAAATCATCAACATATCAATGTATACGTATATATTCCCGTGAAATATTTAAAAAATATCATAAGTTATAGCCAGAAACAAAAACATGTTTCTGTAATGGCACCTTTAGTTGATATTCCGATAACGAGCTCAATTAAATTCAGTATAGTTGTTTCTTTCAAATATCCAGTGAAAATGGTCACATTTATAATATTTATATTACATTATATTATATTATAATATATTATAATAATTTATATCCAGATTTTGTTTCTGTAATGGCAGATTTAAATTGATATTCTAATAGTGAAACTAATGTTCAGTCAAATTCAGTATAGTCAAGTTATTCTGTGCAAATGGTCACATATTTAAATATATTGTTTTAACAAATAAATCATTAAAGTCTTGATATTTCGTATTTTAGATTCACGTTAACGGAATGTTTCTTGCATGTAATGTGTTTTAGCTGTTCAGTATGTTTTTTCCAAAACAATCTTACACTTTTTCTTTTTCCACTTTTTTATCTTAGGTCTTCTTGTTGATAGCAGAGCGTGATGTTTAGTACCTCTTCTTCCGGAAGTGTAATTATTACGATTCTTTTATGTTTAGACATTGAAAACATTTGAGTTTTTGGTGTGGTGACTTTTTTATAGAAACAACTTAGCCAATAATTTTAACTTTACAAAAATGCTGGCACTCTAAGCAACCAAAGTGTGAAGTATATGGTATCACCTGACACAAACGATGCATTACACCGAAATATTTGGGTTAATGTCGTCGACTACAATTTGTTTCAACATATTACACATTGGAATTAATGGATATGTTGTACCAAAGTGTACCTAATAGTATGAATTTTCCATACAATTGGTATTTAATTATTTAGATAGGAAGTAATATAACTTTATTTTATATATTTTTCTTTATTCAATTAGGTTTCAGAATTTTTTAGATTAGTGGAAAATCACATTACTTAATTCTAAATGATATAAACTATGTCGGATTCATAGCTAAAATGTTATTCTCCTGTAAAGCTAAACTGGTTTGTACTTGGTTCTCGTAACGCTAGTATTGGATGCCGTTCTAGTACATGCTGAAGGTCGGTAATTTAAATATGTACACGTATTCATTTCAATAATATTAGTTAAAATTACAAACGCCAATCCGCTGAATCAGTGTGTATATTAGTTTACTGAAAAAAACAAGCTTTCTCCCAAAAATGTGAACTGTAAATGAATAATCACTGTCACATATACCATTAGTTTTCAAACTTGGTTTTTAATGTATTGTTTGTTTGTTTGTTTGTTTGTTTAAAGAGTTAATTCCTTACTTTTTTGAATTAATCACGTGTGTGTATAATGTAGTGTTACTTGATTATTATGTACTAGTAGTGTGTAATTGCCATACTATTATTATAGCATGTACCAGCACAATGGAATTGAGAATTTCACAATTCATTTGTCTGGGTCAGGCTGAATCATTGTAGTACCTTTCAATTTAAACAGTTCAGTTATTTATTTGAACTTATTTGCATATTGTGTTCAACGTCGACTATAATGAACGATTTCAACAAATTATATAGCTCATTGGGTTATTTTTTATTTCAATGAAATGGCGGCGAGTTGGAATGAATTACGCCCTCTGTTGTGTATATGGGTTTGATCACTCTTAATGTTTAAGTTATAAATAACATAATTTATGTAAAACACGTCTTGTGTGAGCACATTCTGCCTACATTTACTGTGACGGACAAACACTGCGACGTGGTACAGGGACTGATGTAGCTTGGTTTCAAATTCAAATTACCAATATTATGATCGATTCAATGTGTTTTTGGAATCACTTCAACATATTTCAACCAAAAAATAAGCTTTGTTTTCAACATTTGTGTGTTGATCCAGAGTATAACAGTAATTGGATTTCTTCAATTATTTAGGACAGAACAAAGAGTTGCACGAATTCCCTGTCACGTGTCGTATAATTAAGGTTTTCAATGTTTGGAAGCACACTGATGAAAATATTGATAAAAACTGCTTTCAACATATTCTGTCTATTAATAAGTTCATTACTATTTTAAAAAACTAATCCTACAACAATGTGTAACGCTTATGTTAAGGTCATTAACGAATAATTTTCGTATAATTATAAAATGTATTTTAATTAGCTCTCATGGAATCAACACTTGACAACAACAATGACAACATTATGGAAGGTTTTATAAAGTACAGTAAATGTTGGCAGCTAATGTGACCTTAAATTACTGCCTGTGATGGAAAAAATGATGGAAGTAAACCTTCAGAGAACTGTAATTATTGTCCTAACTGGTAATGCGCCATACCCACTGTGTCCATTATAGGTCCCAGGCCAGGCAACGTTTAAACTGCATGTACAATTACAATGTGTATGTATATGCAATTTGAACGAGCGCTGCACGACTGTGGTACTTTGTATACTGTAATATAGAAACGAAAATTGCCTCAAATTACTTCTCAATTACAGTTGATAGGCAAACGATTGAACCTATTTTCAATTTATAGGATTAAACATATTTTCTGATATGTTTATGAATATTATATATATATTGCTGAAATTAATCTATATAGTCCAGCCAATGACAAATTACATACATGCTGTGGGTCATTAACCTCTTGACAAACATAATTTTTTTCTGTATTGTTTTTTCTGAATGTTTTTCATTGATTGTTTGGACTAAATGAACATAACTTTCTATTGGCTAATAATCGTGATCAATATTCGGGGGAATGTGGGTTTATTAATTGTGAAAAATGAGAAAAGGTGAATTTGACGCTCAAAAGGTCAAATGGTTAAGTATTAATGTATAATATGTAACACATGAAAATACTAGTCGCTGGTTTATTTAGTTAGGTTGTTTGTTTCACTCGGAATGTATTTTTCTTTCAAGTGATTTTCATTGAATCATTGATATTCTGTATGCTAGATCAAATAAAACATTAGCAAAATAAATGGATT